ATATTGCGAGGCCCAATGTTTTGTTCCTTTTTTTTTTTTTTTTTCAAGGGAGGGTCTTGCTATGTCACTCAGGCTGGAGTGCAGTGGTTCCGTCTCAGCCCACTGCAACTTCTGCTTCCCATGCTCAGGTGAGCCTCCTACCTTGGCCTCCCAAGTAGCTGGGACTACAAGGACGTGCCACCATGCTTGGCTGATTTTTGTGTTTTTTGTAGAAAAGGGGCTTTGCTACATTGCCCAGGCTGGTCTCGAACCTCTGGGCCTATGTTGGCCTCCAAAAGTGCTGAGATTATAGGCATAAGCCACCATGTCCAGCTCAGTATTCTTTTCATTGCATCTCTTCATATGGCATTTGAATGTTGAGATACATGACATAAACCAGATTTTTGGAGTGTGTAATAAAGAAATGGTTACTTCCTGCCTTTAGGAAGTTTATATTCCAACTAGGAGAGACTGACTAACTATAATCCATGTAGCAAAGTGTACTTCAGTTATTTAAAACAAACTGTTAGCAGGAAAGAAAAGATGTAAGGGATAATGTAGTCAAATGGAAAATAGGTAAGAATTAATTAGACAAGATTTTTGAGTAAAGAGTTTAGATTATAAATCTTTACTATAGGAAGAAGTGATGAGGTGTCAAGGATAATGTTATTTCAATGCACAGAAAATAACTTAAGGGAAAACTTAGCTAAGGGAACATAAAACATACGGTTAGGGAAGGGTTTTCAAGGCTTATTTTTATTTTTTACATGAAATCTCCCTTTGTAATCCAGGCTGAAGTGCAGTGGCACAATCTTGGCTCACTGCAACCTCTGCCTCCCAGGCTCAAGCGATTCTCCTGCCTCAGCCTCCCAAGTAGCTGGGATTACAGGTACCCACCATCACCACGCCTGGCTAATTTTTGTATTTTTAGTAGAAGTGGGGTTTTGCCATTTTGGCCAGGCTGGTCTCGAACCCTTGACTTTAGGTGCTGCCCACCTCAGCCTCCCAAAGTGTTGGGATTACAAGTGTGATCCACCACACCCAGCCTTCAAGACATATTTGAAATGATGGGGACAGGATAGAGGTGAAGGAAGAGATGAGAATAAATACACATCTGCAATAAAGAGTTTATAAGCCGATGGTTAAAACTTTTATATTATTTCGATGATTCAGGAAATCTCAGTGCCATGATTTCATTTGACTTGAGTAGTGTGACAAAATGGAAGGTTGAGAGGGCTGGAGAGGAGACTATGAATGAGGAGCAGTGTAATGTTGGTTCCTGTTGTGAAATGATTAGAGACTCGGTAAGGAATTTGACTGTGAGAAGAGCAAGGAATAGGTGGTATTATTAAAAAAAGTAGATTTTATTTTAATTAATTAATTAATTTGAGATTGAGTCTTACTCTGTCGCCCAGGCCAGAGTGCAGTGGTGCGGTTTTGGCTCACTGCTACCTCTGCCTCCTGGGTCCAAGTGATTTTCCCGCCTCAGTCTCCTGAGTAGCTGGGATGACAGGCGTGTGCCACCATGCCCGGCTAATTTTTGTCTTTTTAGTAGAGATGGGGTCTCACCATGTTGGCCAAGCTGGTCTTGAACTTCTAACCTTAGGTGATCTGCCCACCTCGGCCTCCCAAGGGGCTGGGATTATAAGCATGAGCCACTGTGCCTGGCCAGAAAATAGATTTTAAATTTTACAGTATGAGAAATCCTAATTGTAACAGGTCATTAAAATATTTTTAAAATAAAAAACAAATTGGCAGTTTACCTTCAGAAAATACCAATAGAAATAGGAAGAAATTAAGTATTATTAAAGTTCTGCTGTAGAATGAGAGGAAAAAGCACGACAAAAATGCTCTTTCAGGATAGAGGGATGGGGGAAATGAATGAGAAGAGAAGGACATCAATGTAGGTACTTACTTTCTGGTGAGATGGGAAAAAAACATGGATGCTGATTGGAAGGAGAGACACAGCTTAGAAAATGCTTGTCTAATTAAGGAACAGGAAATTTTTTTTTATGTTTTATTTACAGTTTGGGGGATTATGTGAAACATGTATTTCTTTACCCCAAGGTTAGCGGTGTAGAACTAATTATTCCTATAAACAAAATCATAGTGCTACAAGTGTTATACCTACATTGGTTTATATACTGTTGCTTTCTGTGTATTCATAATATAATTAAATGTCTTGAGATGACTGAGTTAAGAAAAGGTGCTCTTTGGCTCCTGGAATATGGAATAGCCTAGGTTTTTCTTTCTTTTTTTTTTTTTTTAAGATGGGGTTTCACTGTGTTGGTTAGGCTGTTCTTGAACTCCCAACCTCAGGTGATCCAGCCACCTTGGCCTCCAAAGTGCTTGGATTGCAGGTGTGAGCCACCATGCTGGCCTGTTTTTTGTTTTTTTTTTTTTTTTTGAGATGGAGTCTCTCTCTGTTGCCCAGGTTGGAGTACAGTGGCAAGATCTCGGCTCACTGCAACCTTTGCCTCCTGGGTTCAAGTGATTCTCCTGCCTCCGCCTCCTGAGTAACTGGAATTGCAGGCGTGTAGCACACGCCCGGCTAATTTTTGTATTTTTAGTAGAGATGGGGGTTTCACCATGTTGATCATGCTGGTCTTGAACCCTTGATCTCGTGATCTGCCTGCCTCTGCCTCCCAAAGTGCTGGGATTACAGGTGTGAGCCACTGTGCCTGGTGCCTGGCCTTTTTTTTTTTTTTGAAATGGAGCTTCACTCTTGTTACCTAGGCTGGAGTGCAATGGTGCAGTCTCGGTTCACTGCAACCTCCATCTCTTGGGTTCAAGAGATTCTCCTGTCTCAGCCTCCTGAGTAGCTGGGATTACAGGCGCCTGTCATCATGCCTGGCTAATTTTTGTGTTTTTGGTAGAGACAGGGTTTTACTGTGTTGGGCAGGGTGGTCTTACACTCCTGACCTCAAGTGATCCCCCCACCTCTGCCTCCCAAAGTGCTGGGATTACAGGTATGAGCCACCACACCTGGCCCAAATAGCCTAGTTTTATCTGACTAGATCTCATAATGACATTTATTAGGCTAGAATTCTGTGTGTATTGAAATGCATTACATGATACTACAGTTCTTAAGGATTCTTTTTGACAAGTCAAACTTATTGAGGTATAATTTACACATAGTAAAATTCATCTGTTTTAGGTGTATGGTTCTATACAATTCTGCTAAAACAGATGAATTATGAAAACAGTGACATTTGTGTAACCACCACCACCACAATTAAGATATAAGATAAGAATATTTTTGTCACTTCAATAGTTTCCATAATTATGCCCTTTTGAAGTAAATCCCTTCTGCCCACTCCTCACTCCCTGGCAACAGCTCATTTGGTTTTTATTCCTATAGTTTTTCCATTCCCAAAATGTCATATAAATTGGCGTCACCCAGTGTATAGCCTTTTGAATCTGGCTTCTTTCATTTAGCATAACACTTTTGAGATTCAGCAAGGTTTCTCTTTTTATCAATAAACTATTTTTTTAGAGAGTTTATTTAAAAAATCGTGAAGTTATGATTTACAGAAAGTTTGTAACTATAGTACAGAGAAATCTCTTAAACCCTGGACCTAATTTCCCCTATTTTTTAATTTATGTAAACTACTAAGTTTTGCTAATTGTCAAACCTGCAGGGTTCTAGAATTAAGTTTATTGAAAATGGGAAACAGCGTGAAGATTTTGATCAAGACAATGACTTTTTTTTTTAAGATGTAGTCTTGCTCTGTCACCCAGCCTGGAGTGCAGTGGTGCCATCTCAGCTGACTGCAACTTCCTCCTCCTGGGTTCAAGTAATTCTCATGCCTCAGCCTTCCGAGTAGCTGGGATTACAGGCAGGCCCCACCATGATGGCTAATTTTCTTATTTTTAGTAGAGATGGGGTTTCACCATGTTGGCCAGGCTGGTTTCGAACTCCTGACCTCAGGTGATCCTCCCACCTTAGCCTCCCAAAGTGCTGGGACTACAGGCGTGAGCCACTGCACCTGGCCCTCTAATGACTCGTATGGTGGTAAATTATATATAACATTTTATTCATTTTAACTGTACGTTTCAATGGTATTAATTGCAGTCACAATGTTATACAGCCATCACCATTATGTACTTTCAAATTTGTTCACCATCCCAAATAGAAGAAACTCTGTACCTGTTAAGTAGTGACTATCCATTCCCTTCTTGAACCAGCCCCTGGTAACCACTAATTTACTTTTTTTTTTTTTTTTTTTTTGAGATGGAATCTTGCTCTCTCACCAGGCTGGAGTGCGGTGGTGTGATCTCAGCTCACTGCAACCTCCACTTCCTGTGTTCAAGCGATTCTCCTGCCTCAGCCTCCCGAGTAGCTGGGACTATAGGTGCGTGCCAGTATGCCCAGCTAATTTTTGTATTTTTAGTAGAGATGGGGTTTCACCATGTTGGCCAGGATGGTCTCAATCTCTTAACTTTGTTATCCACCTGCCTTGGCCTCCCAAAGTGCTGGAATTACAGGCGTGAGCCACCTTACCCGGCCTCTGATTTTTGTCTCTGTGAGTTTACCTATTCTAGATATTTTGTGTAAGTGGAATCATGTAATATTTGGCCTTTTGTGTCTGGCTTATTTCACTTAGTGTAATGTTTTCAACTTTCATACGTGTTATAGAATGTATTATTTTTATGACAATCATATTTAATGTACCACATTTTGTATTTTCATTCATTGATGGATACTATGTTTGTTTTCACCTTTTGGCTATTGTAAACAATGCTCTCTCAGTATTAGTATACTATTTTCAGTTCTTTTTGGTGTATACCTAGGAGTGGAATTGCTAGGTTGTGGTAATTCCACGTTTAATTTTTTGAAGAAACACTAAAATGTTTTCCAAAGTGGCTGTACCATTTTACATTCCCCTAGTATCCTTGCCACCACTTGCTGTTTTCCCTTTTTTTTTTTAGTTATAGCCATTCTAGTAGGTTGACTAGTGATATTGAGTATCTCTTCATGTGTTTATTGATAATAAGATGACATTTTTTTCTTTTTTATATTTTTTATGGAACGCTTCACAAATTTGCGTGTCATCCTTGCACAGGGGCCATGCTAATCTCTGTATTGTTCCAGTTTTTTAGTGTACGTGCTGCTGAAGCGAGTACTTTTTTCTTTTTTTTTAAGGTGGCGTCTTTCTCTGCTGCCCAGGCTGGAGTGCAGTGTGCAGTGGTGCAATCTTGGCTCACGGCAACCTCCGCCTCCCAGGTTCAAGTGATTCTCCTGTCTCAGCCTCCCAAGTAGCTGGGATTACAGGTGCTTGCCACCACGCCTGGCTAATTTTTGTAGTTTTAGTAGAGGCAGTGCTTCGTTGGCCACCTCAAGTGATCCACCTACCTTGGCCTCCCAAAGTGCTGGGATTACAGGCATGAGCCACCATGCCTGGCCTAAGATGGCTTTTTTTTTTAAATGAGGTCTTGCTGTGTTGTCCAGTCTGGGGTACAATGGCTGTTCATAGAGGCAGTCATAATGCAGTACAACCTTGGACTGATAGACTCAAATGATCCTTCTGCCACAGCCTCCAGAGTAGGTGGGAGTACAGGTGCACGCCACTGTGCAGTTAATGGTAGCAACATATTGATGTTTGTTTCAACAGTGGTCAAGACAGGGTGATATTAACATTTTAAAAAATGAAAGATATAGGTTTCATTGGGCATGAAAAAAAAGAAAGAAAAATAATTGGACAGAAACCTGTACTTTAAAATCCTGTTATATGCCAAGCATTTTATTATATAAGTTTCTTTTAACTCTGAAAACACTATATTATCTGTGTTTTACAGATGAGAAAACCAAAGACAAAGGGAGATCAAGTAACTTGCTTCAAAAATTACACAGTTGGGGCCAGGCGTGGTGGCTCATGCCTGTAATCCCAGCACTTGGGAGTTTGAAGCAGGTGGATCATAAGGTCAAGAGATTGAGGCCATCTTGGTCAATATGGTGAAACCTCGTCTCTACTAAAAATACAAAAATTAGTTGGGCATAGTGGCATGCACCTGTAGTCCTAGCTACTCAGGAGGCTGAGGTAGGAGAATCGCTTGAACCCAGGAGGTGAAGGTTGCAGTGAGCCAAGATTGCTCCACTGCACTCTAGCTTGGCGACAGAGTGAGACTCCATCTCAAAAAAATAATAGTAATAAATGAAAAATCACACAGTTGGTCGGGCATGGTGGCTCACGCCTGTAATCCCAGCACTTTGGGAGGCTGAGGTGGGCAGATCGCCTGAGGTCAGGAATTCAAGACCAGCCTGGCCAACATGGTGAAACCCTGGCTTTACTAAAAATATAAAAATCAGCCAGGTGTGGTGGCATATGCCTGTAGTCTCAAGGCTGAGGCAGGAGAATCAGCTTGAACCCTGGAGGTGGAGGCTGCAGTGAGCGGAGATTGTCACTGCACTCCAGCCTGGGCGACAGAGCAAGACTCTGTCTCAAAAAAAAAAAAAAATCAGAAAGTTTATAAGAGAGAAGTCTGATATTTGCTTGCTGCTACATGGTTCTTTCTTCTCTCTGTTATCACTGTTCTACAAAACTAAGAATTTTATCCGTATGTTGATGTCATGTGAAAGCAAGACTTTTTGAGTCATAGAAATTGATGGAGTTTGGGTGAAAATTCCAGAAGTATTCATGTCAGTTTTTCATTATTTATCATTATTCATTATTGAGGGTATCTCAGTTGCAACTCAGTTTTATCTTTTTTCTACGTTAAGCTATGTTAAATGCAGGTATATGTCGTAACGTTTAACACAGAAGCCTTACTGTTATCTGTCATGTTGGAATTGGGGTGACGTCAAAGATTATTTAATGATTCATGTCAAATGAATGAACAGTGAAGTAGATCAAAGTTCAGTAATTATCTCCACAAAGCAGTACTACTGTTGGGATTCTGAGTTACATTAAAAACTGCTTGGTCAGCAAAATGTCTTTCAATAGGAACCTCTTGCTGTGACTGTATCCGCTTTCCTTGTCCCCCTCCCTCATATGTATAGTGATACACATATGTAGACATAGAAAATTGTCCTGGTTGGATTCCTTAGTTGTGAATCTCTTATTTGTAGAAGGTTGTTTCTAAGACCTGAAGGTGGGATAATGACTAATGTATATTAAACTGCAGTGCAACCATTGCTTTTTGTCAAAATAGAATTAAGTCCTTTATTAATGTGGTTGTAGTGCTTGTGCAGTGGATAGTAGTTTTAATAGAGTAGTATGGAGGCTAAAGAATGGAGTGGGGGCTGGCTGGGTGCGGTGGCTTGCGCCTTTAATGCCAGTACTTTGGGAGGCTGAGGTGGGTGGATCACAAGGTCAGGAGTTCGAGGCCAGCCTGGCCAATATGGTGAAACCCATCTCTACTAATAATACAAAAATTAGCCAGGTGTGGTGGCATGTGCCTGTAGTCCCAGCTACTCGGGAGACTGAGGCAGGATAATGCTTGAACTCGGGAGGTGGAGGTTACAGTGAGCTGAGATCAAGCCACTGAACTCCAGCCTAGGCAACAGAGTGAGATTTTATTTCAAAAAAATAAAATAAAAATGGAGTGCGGGCCATGTGCAGTGGCTCATGCCAGTAGTCCCAGCACTTTGGGAAGCTGAGGTAGGTGAATCTCTTGACCCCAGAAGTTCAAGACCAGTGTGGGCAACATGGTGAAACCCTGTTTCTACAAAAAATACAAAAATTAGCCAGACATGGTGGCATGTGTCTGTAGTCCCAGCTACTTGGGAGGCTGAGGTTGAGGATCACTTGAGCCCGGAAGGTGGAGGTTGGAGTGAGCCAAGATCATACCACTGCATTCCAGCCTGGGCAATAGAGCAGGACCCTGTCTCAAAAAAAAAGAAAAAAGAAAAAAAAGAAGAAGAAGAATGGTGTGGGAGCCAGGTTAGGCTCACCTTTTTTTTTTCTCTTTTTTTTTGTGGAGACAGAGTCTCGCTCTCACCCAGGCTGGAGTGCAGTGGCACGATCTCGGCTCCCTGCAACCTCTGCTTCCCAGGTTCACACAATTCTCCTTCCTCAGCCACCTGAGTAGCTGGGATTACAGGCTCTTACCACCACACCTGGCTAATTTTTGTATTTTTAGTAGAGACAGGGTTTTATCATGTTGGTCAGGCTGGTCTTGAACTCCTGACCTGTTCCATCTGCCAGCCTCAGCCTCTCAAAGTGCTGGGATTATAGGTGTGAACCACCATGCCTGGCCAGGCGCACCTATCTTTAAACATGTGATAAAGCTTGGGAAGACTCTCCTCTTCATTTTTCCCATGGCTCACTCTTTCTTATGTCCAGGTTGTGGCTCCAATTTTTTTTCCCTCATACCCTATTAAAAATAGTAGCCTCCCCAACCAAATCATTCTCTCTCACATTACTGTTGTTTTTCTCCAGTTTCTTTTACTATCTATATGTATAATTTTGTTTGCTTGAGTCAAATCACTGCTTAATGTTTCCATTGCTATTCCTAGTCCTAGTCCAAGTCATTATTCTAGACTTTTTCAACTACCTGTTAATTGGTCTCCCAGTTTCCATTTTTGTTTCTTACGCCTATTTCCCACAGAACAATAGGTATCTTGAGCAGTGTAAATCAGATCACATGACTGTTTCTGTCTGAAATTCCCCCTTGGCTTCATATTATACTTAAAATTGAATATAGCGCCCTCCTTCCTTGAAGGTATATTAAGTTTAATAATTAAAAAAAATTTTTATTGATAGATGGAGATTTTAAGATTTTTTTTTGGAGATAGCTCTGATTTTTGATAGTTAAGTTTAGTGATTTAACTTGTTTCTAGTTGTTTTCTTTCTTTTCTTAATCCCAAATGTGATAGTTTTTTTTTGTTTTTTTGTTTTTTTTTTTCTTTTTTTCTGAGATAGCATCTAACTCTGTTTCCCAGGCTGGAGTGCAGTGGTGGGATCTTGGCGCACTGCAACCTCTGCTTCCTGGGTTCCAGTAACCTGCCTACTTTAGCCTCCTAAGTAACTGGGATTACAGGTGCATGCCACCATACCTGGCCAATTTTTGTGTTTTTTGGTAGAGATAGAGTTTCACCATGTTGGTCAGACTGGTCTTGAACTTTTGACCTCAAGTGCTCTGCCTGCCTTGACCTCCCAAAGTGCTGGGTTTGCAGTGTGAGCCACCACACCGGCCATGTTTCTAATTTTTATAGAAAAAATATATCACAGCCAGATCATGAGACTAAGAGATTGAGACTATCCTGGCCAACATGGTGAAACCCCGTCTCTACAAATAATACAGAAATTAACCAGGCATGGTGCTACACGCCTGTAGCTACTCGGGAGGCTGAGGCAGGATAATCGCTTGAAAATGGGAGGTGGAGGTTGCAGTGAGCCGAGATCATGCCACTGTACTCCAGCCTGGGCAATACAGCAAGACTCCATCTTGGAAAAAAACAAAAAATAAATAAATCCCCTAAATTTGGAGAAAAGAAACTTTACAAGTCAAATTTAGTATTATAGAAATCTAGGAGTTAGAATGAATCTTTTTTTTTTTTTTTTTTTTTGAGATGGAGTTTCATTCTTGTTGCCCAGGCTGGAGTGCAGTGGCGCCATCTCAGTTTACTGCAACCTCTGCCTGCCAGGTTCACGTGATTCTCCTGCCTCAGCCTTCTGAATGGCTGGGATTACAGGTGCCCACCATCATGCCCGGCTAATTTTGTATTTTTAGTAGAGATAATGTTTCTTCATGTTGGTTAGGCTGGTCTCAAACTCCCAACGTAAAGTGATCGCCCACCTTGGCCTCCCAAAGTGTTGGGATTACAGGCGTGAGCCACCACGCCCGGCTAGAATTACCATCCAATGTCTAACAACTTTACATACTTTAGAAATTGAAGCTCAGAGAGATGAACTGCTTTATTCAAGTTATAACTAATTAATATTAATAGGGCTGGGGAAAAAAATCTCAGTTTTTCTTTTCTTCCAACTCAGAGTCCTCATCATCTGTTAGTTTGTGATGCCTATTTAGCAATTTTTTTTCTTTCCTGCCTCAGGTGTATTTGTACAAATAGCACAGGAGGACGCCAGCCCTATGCAGACAGCAGCCCTGGTGGGGGGTTGCAACAGTCCTTCTGGCCTCATGTTGGCAGACAGATATCTAGAAGACTTTGTAGTGGCCTGGGT